GGAAGAGCATCCCACCGCTTGCCACCAATGTGACGGACCCCCGTACTCACGATGAGTATGTCCGCCGCTGTCTTCTTCCTTGCTGAGGAGATATTGGAACCTGAAGATCCTTAGCTCCCAGTTTCCCCAGTCACTAGCCAAGGCTCGAGTGTAGGGTAAACAAACTCTGATTTATTGAGCAACTGCACAAACTTATATACAGCAAGTGATGAAATCAGAATATAATCCCATCACATCCACCTCCCCTCCTCCCAGACCATCGGTCTGCTCAACACCACAGGTGTCCACCTGCTAACGAACTCCAGACAGCCATGGCAGAGGCCTGGCCAGAATGTCATTGTTCTGAGCTCCCTCAGAGAACAATGGGAGATAACGAGGGATGGTGCTGATAGTCTTTACATAACCAGGTCACACAGCATAACGCACTCAAACATAACTCAATACCAATACACATTTAACTTAACCAATACACATAAACTGATCACCATGTCGTCACACCCATAGTTCTCCTTTAAGCATTGTGTGCGGTTTGACTGTATTTGTATAATAAGAGAACAGGTGGCTTTGAATATCTGTTAAATCTCCTTCTTGTGATAATAGAACAGAGATGAGTCATGGTAGCCAAACATTTTATTGTATTATCCCATAAGCATGTGTATGTCAGGTAAACAGGAGATCAGTCTGGGCTTTGGATGTTCCACTCTGAGCACTGGGATCCGTTCAGTATGGTCACCTTCAAGTTAGTGTACAGGGACATCAGACTCAAAAACAAATCAGACTGCAAGATGATTTAAAGAAATGGACTTGCACTTGGGGTCAATTTGAGACAAATTTGTGATGCATTTGTGATGTGTTTGCCATGTTTACATTGCATACCCATTAACTTGAATGGAGGATAATAGCATTTTAATCACATTGTAATAGCACCTACAGACATAGACAAATGTGTACTTCTCAAAAAGATTGTATCTGAAATTGAAGTACTGAATAAAGGATCATTTAACAATGCTTCAAAATCAAAAGCAAGAAAATAACAATTGTTCAGAAGCCCTTAGAGCAGATCTAGGCATTTTACGGCCCACGAGCAGTACCCGGTCCTTTGTCTGTCTCTGTCTGGCCCATGGTTCGTACATGGACCAATCGCTGACTTGCATTAGTTTATGGCTGCCTGACAGTAGATGCGCCGGCCTCTAAAGCCGGGGCATCCACTGCAAGCCATAGCCCAGCGCAGGTCGATGATTGGCCTGTGTGCAGACCGCGTTCCTCTTCAGTGATTGATTGCTAGGACCGCTGGCATCCTAGCGACCAATTATGTCAGGGGTCTTCCTCCTCTGTAGTCATTGGGTGCTAGGACTAATGGGCAGTCCTAACAACCAGTGACACATGTCTTCCTGCCTCCAGTTTTTCCTCTGTCTTCCACCTGAAGCTTCTTCTCCCGGATCCTGCCTGTAGAAGAAAAACAAAAGGTATGTGTCACATACTTGTGAGTATCATACTATGTGGGGACAATAAAGCTTCATTCAGGGCCTGTTCACACCTATGCCATGCGATTAACGCATGGTACTGCACAGGCCACTAACAGTGCATTACAGTGCGGTGGGTGCATTGTGTTGCATGCACTACTTTTTTGCAGTGTTTTTGCTCTGTATTGCGGTACCATGTGTTGTGGTGTGGTCGATTGCATTGGAGTCAGGACGTGCCATTCAAATTAATGCCAATGCAACGCACCTGCCACACTGTAACGCTCGGTTGGTACGTTGCGTTAATTGGTTTGAGAAAATGAAGTGCCCACCGCTGCCTTAGAGGCATCTTTAGTAGTCGGAAAGTCTCTAGTTAGGAATAATTTCACAGCATAAAGTTTATAGCTATCCCTATCCATATCTTTGGGAGTCTTTGCCATGTTATAAGTCTCACTTGTTGGTATGGGGAGGGACAACATATAATAAAATAAAAAAAAGGTTTCTAAAAAGGCCAGTTTGTGTATTCTGCCTGATTGTCATAAAAAAGGAAAATGTC